ACAAAAGGACTCGATTCTTAAACGGCGTTTCATTCAACACCGACATCAAGAAGCAGAGTGAAGGAGATGAAATTATCACCTGCGTGGAAACGCGCCGTGGTGAGAAAAACGCCACGCTACCAATAACAAACTGCATAATGGCTGCTGCGTTGACTGACAAGTGTTGAAAGGTATTCTCCCACTTTTTACAATCAAACGTAGAACTGACAACACTTTTTGTTTTAAATTAGACACAGATTATGTTTTTCTACACCAGTAATAAAGCCACCTGATTAGGTATTAAAATAATGCCTCGTTTTCTCAACTTAATTTGCATTGATTGTAAGGAATCAACAACTGCTGAAGACAAAGATTCAGGTGCATTACTGCGAGTTCCTTAAAGATTAAAGAGCAGGAACTCCACGGAGGAGAAGCTGGCCCGTCCGCTGAGATCCCCACTCAATATGCAATTTAAAAATGGAAGCAGTTGGTTTGACTAAGCAATAAAACGCAGAAGGACAGAAAACCGAGGCGGCGGCGGCGGCGGAGGGAAGGACCAATTAGCTTATTTATAAATCAACAGCAATTTCACTGATGACTCCATCTTAAATTTGATCAAGCTGCAGGTTTTGAAGTCCCCTAACAAAAATCATTTATCTAATTCCCTTTATTGGTAATAATGGTGAGTCCCTCTTTGGCCTGGTCTAATCAGACTCTCATTGATTTCCACTGGACTGCAGGGCGGCGATAAAGTGGCCTCAAGCTTCGCTGTTCATCATGAAAATGCTGCTCATAAAAATGGCCGCTTCTGTCTTTTTAAAACTATGATAAACGTCACTGAGGAAAGAGTCTGGGCCTCCAAAGCCTGGTTTATTTACGAGATTGTTGCGTTTTATGAATATGTGAACTGTTTAATATTTCCTTGTAGGTTTGCGTCTGTGCCAGGAAAACATGTCAACTCTGGGAATAAGAGAAACACGGCGTCTAAAAACAATCATATTACAGGAAATAAAGCTGTAACTGTTGCATTTTATGATGTCAAATTGATTTCAGTTCCATAAACAGTTAAAATAATTGTAATTTAATTTATTTCTATCAAATTCATTATAATAAATGTATAATTTTGTCTATTTTACTCAATTTTTCAACCATTGCAACACATTTCTTAAACTACTCAGGTTTTCTATACAATATTAGAAATTAATTAGAAGATGGAAATGATTGAATTTAATAAAAAATTAAAAGCAGTCTAAGTTTTGCATAAAACATATTCATATACAAAATTATATTTATTTTGAACAGTTTTGAATATGTTATTTTTTTCAGCAAACTATCCTCAAAATAATTAGTAATCAATTACTAATCTCGTTGACAAGTCTTTCAATAATCAATTAATCACAATTAATTGACTCAGCCTTAAAGAATAAAAAGTAAATAAATGAATAAATTTGATTTTATTATATCAAATTTAACACTGGGACTGGAAGACATTTCATTAAATATCCAGACTAAACAATAAATAAATAAAATTATACATAAAATATTTGTAAACAAAAAAGGGCTGGTTGAGATGAAAACACCAAACTCATCCAGTTTTTGGTAAAAAGAGAGAAAAACAATAAATAATGCAAATAGAAATAATTGAATTCTTTTGAATTTATCAGCTGAAAATGAATCAAACTATGAAAACACTAAAACTGATAAAAACAATATTAAATTCCCAGTAACGGTTTTAAAGGGATGTTAGCGTCTCAGTGTCTTGCTCTCTGTTGCGGTGGTGTGGATGGAGCGGGTTGCCAGGTTGGTGATTTCACTCCTGTGCAGCATCACTGCCCTCATTAGCGCGCTCACTTCCACAGGTGACGCTACTGGAAGTGGACACCGCCGCTTTAAAGCGACGCGCAGCAACCAAGACAAACACAAAGATCATTAGCGCGCATTAAAATCCACATCAGGAGTCGAATGCTGCGGTGAGTCAGCGCCGGCGCGCTGCGGCGCGGCCTGATGGACGCCTGCCCACTGATTGCAATTTGGCAGCGAGACGAGGAGAGGCTCAGCGAGGTACATGACGTTACCGCATGTGGGCAAACACGGCTCAAGCTGATGAAACCGAGCCAAAACGGGGCGAGGCGTGCTTCCTGAATTAGCTTGCAACAAAGATGGAGACATCGGAGGGACCTCCGGGCGACAGCGCCGGGTTTAAGCTTTAATTCATTTAGATGGGTCAAAAATAAACACGATTATTCTTCATTTGTGCTTTAAATTAGTTCATAGAGGCATGAAAAGTCAGAAATGGTCCACAAACAGTCAAGTTTTAGAAGTTGAACCTCCAAACAGGAGAGTCATGTTTAAATGTAAGCGAATGGTGGTGGCAGTATCATGCTGTGGGCTGCTACACTCTCACCAAGTGGGTGAAATATTAAAGGATGAGTCGCTCCAAATGTTTCAATTTACCTCAAATTAACAGTAAGATGGTTGAAAGGCCCCACAGCATGATACTGCCTCTATCGTGAATTAAGGTTTTCCTGTTTCCTGTTTGCAGAACATTAATTATTATGATAATTAATGACTTTGCAAAAGAAACACAAAAACAAAAAAATCCCAGCGCTGCTGACAATAAGACAATCCCACAGCATGATGCTGCCAACACTTATTTTGATAGTAAGCGCAGTGTTGAGTTTCAAAGAATCACTTCTTCTTGTTCGGAGACCAACAACAGCAAGTTTCTGGACTCAACTTTCCAAAGCAAATATATGAGTTTTTCAGTGAAACAACCCCACAGCATGATGCTGCCAACACTGTGTTTGCTAGAGATTGTTGCAGTAATCTCTAGTCTCATCTGATCAGATTGATCTTGAACTGTCAGGGCAGATTATTAAGAAATAAAAACAGGAATTTCAGGAGGCACTAAAAGGTGAAAGGTCAGCTTGAAAATGGCTCCTGGTTTGAGCCCAAAGCTGTCGGTAGCGTGTTGTCCCTCAGCGAACGCAGAGACAAACGCAGCGCCGCAGCTCCACCGTGATAAATGAGTTTGTATTGTCTGTCAGAGCGGCTTCCTGCCTGCCCAGGTCACTGCTTATTAAATTAGCACTTGTCAATGTCCTAAATACTGATTGATGGATGATCATGGCAAATGAAGGACTTCCATGACTTTTGTTCCTCTGCCTCCCAGTTTTGTCAGAGCAAAGCGAAACCTTTACCGGATTGTTATTGATAAGTATTGAACCGCCACCGCTGGCTTTCCTCCTGAAATAATCCTTCATTTCATTCGTCTTTTGTTTTAGCTTCTTCAAGTAGGACAAATGTTTAGTGTTGATATGAAATCCAACAATAAAAGTTCATTTTCTTTCATCAGGAAGCAAATACTTCTCAGGTGGTTGTTATTTTCTGTATAAGTTACAGAAAAGTAGATTTCAGTAACTTTCATAAATGTAATAATACCACTGGGGTCAAAGTTTACATTTGATAAAGACAAGCTAATGTAGCATTAATGAAAAGTTGCACTAGGCTAACAAAGTTGTCTAATGTTTGCTACATTAGACTAATTTAAGCAAAACAACGCCAAGACAAGTTGAGCTAAAGCATGCTAAACAAAGCTAAAGCATGCTAAACAAAGCTAATGCATGCTAAACAAAGCTAAAGCATGCTAAACAAAGCTAAAGCATGCTAAACAAAGCTAAAGCATGCTAAACAAAGCTAAAGCATGCTAAACAAAGCTAAAGCATGCTAAACAAAGCTAAAGATTGCTGAACAAAGCTAATGCATGCTAAACAAAGTTAATGCATGCTAAAGTAAGTTAAGCATGCTAAACAAAGCTAAAGCATGCTAAACAAAGCTAAAGCATGCTAAACAAAGCTAAAGCATGCTAAACAAAGCTAATGCATGCTAAAGTAAGTTAAGCATGCTAAACAAAGCTAAAGCATGCTAAACAAAGCTAAAGCATGCTAAACAAAGCTAATGCATGCTAAAGTAAGCTAAGGTGGGTGAAGATAAAACACAACTTGTATAAACGAAGGTCTGGAAAAACTCTGGGAATCTATTTTGGTTCAGGTGAAGAAAAAATTCAAAAAGTGAATAAAAATCACATGTAAATGAAAAGTTATGACAATAACCTGCTGGGAAAAGAAACTCCATTGACTAATATAAACAAAATGGGATCAAATGAGTACTTGTGTTTCATTTTGACAGAAACGGAGTGAAGTGGTTCTGGAAAACCCGTCTCCAGTCAACACGGTCCTGTTTGGTTTTCTGACACGGCGCTGGTGTGTAGCAACGCGGGCTGAGTGTGCGTCTCCGGGGGGCGCTCAGGGTTCGGGGCATTGATGAGTCTGTGGCTGACATTTGAGCATGATTGAGGGGGAGTGCGGCTACTAAATCACTACATTGTTCTGCTGTCTGTGGGTCCGTGTCATTGCTGCACTTTACCAACAGTTGAGATGCCTCAAATTAGATAATTACCAATTAAACAGGACCACAGGAACTTGGCGCTTTGATGAAAACCCAAAACCTGATGTGATCGGACCCAAAAGCCGAGAAGTTCAACCAAAATACGACTGAAAATCAGCTTCTATATCCAGCAATCACAAAGAAGGGTTTTTATTGCCTGCAAAGCCAACATCAAAACTGATGTTTTTCTCTTTTTTTGCCGCTATTAAGCCATGCCATATTTGTGTCTAATGATAAGGTAAATGAAACGATGTTTCAAAGAGAACCGGCCCACCCTGAGTTTTTTATTTCTTTCAAAAGACTGGACAAACTGGAGCAGTTTGGAAAAAGACCGTAGGCGAGCCGAATGATTGTCAGTCATGCAAATAATCACTTACTTACAGTCAGTGAGTTTGCTTCGGATAAGGCAAATTACCATTTGAAAATGAGCTCAGAAACACTCTGGGCAAAAAGCTTGCAACATGATTCTCAGTTGTATTACCGCGTAAACGCAACCGCATACACATAAACGCACACATAAATGCAAACAAACGTGCTTCAGAAACACTGCAGCTGGCAGAAATAAACGCTCCTACCTTACTGTTTCTGTCAAACTTTTTCCTTCCTCTTGTTCCAACATCTTCATCGTTTCTGCAGGAATAAAAAGCAGAAGTTATGTCAATAATGATTTAGTTGGACTACTGACCTACTGTCTTCTCCTCAAAATAGAGAAACTGTAAAATGAAACAGGTTTTCCACTTTTGATCAATTGGATGACAGACAATATTTCACTTTCTTTCTCCCAATTGGAGATTTTCTCCTAATCACTTAAAGGGATTTCAATCAATAGTTAATCAGTCTTTGTGAATATTCAAGATGTTTCTGTCTCCTTTGCCTGTTTTTAATAATAGAATAGAATTAAAACAAAACATGAGGCGTTTCTAGAAAACCATTTCAAACCGATTCTAAAATTAAGTCTAGATGGGGTTTTTTTTAAATTAGCATCAGCTCAGGTAAACCAAACTAAGATATGATAAAGTAAGCGAATCTAAAAGCTAAGGTATGCTAAACTGTAAACAGCTACGGCAAGAAACTAAGATTAGGTAATGTAGACTGAACTAAACAACACTTTAATAAGTAATGCTCAACTAGACCAAGAATTGCTAAGCTAACATAGTGTAAGCTAATCCAAGAAGAGCTAATGTAGGCTAAAGTATACTAAACTTATTGAATGTTTGCTAACTTTAAAGAAAAAATTAGCTAATGAAGGATAAATTAAACAAAGCTAAGCTAAAGATCTCTAAGCTGAGCTAATGCTAACCTAATGTTGACTAAGCTATAGAAAGTTGTGATGAACTTAGCTCAAGTATGCTAAACTAAGCTAGTGCAAGCTAAGCTGATAAGAGCTAATGTAGGCTAAACTACAAACTGAAGTGCTAAACACTTATTGAATGTATGCTAACTTTAAGGCACGTTTAATAAGGCAATGCTAGCATAAGACAAGCTAAAGAAGGTTAAATTAAACGAAGCTAAACTAAAAGTTGCTAAACTGAGCTATTGCTAACCTGAGATTACATAATGTTGGTTAAACGAAAGCAAGTTATGCTGAACTTAGCTCAAGTACGTTAAGCTAAGCTTGTGCAGCTAATCTAAGAGGAGCTAATGTATACATTTATTTTCTGAATTTACTGAAATTAAATTATAATTCACATCATCATCTACTTTTTTCATAAGATCTATTTCTGTATCTGAGTTAAGATGCTTGAAAACTGGGATGAAGGAGCTGAATCTAAATTTTCTAAATTGATTCTGAGTGGGAATATTTTAAGGTGACCTCTTATATTTACCAAGAAAATATCATCTTAGTATAAAATAAATGACCAAAAATGTATGAAAATAATAAAATGATGTCAGCCAGTGGGTTTTACAGTGGAGGACAGGAATACTGGTTCATCTTATTCTGTAATATTTCTCAAACTGTAGCGTCTGAGTGACAAAAGCCTTCCTGCTGCGTTTTTATTTCAATCACCTGACACCCATGTTATTCACATCGTCAGCGCACCATAGTACAGGGAATAAACCTGCAAGGTAATTCATTCGAAATGCTTCCCTGAAAGCTCCTTAGATTCTCAGCCAGGTGCGTGACTCACACTGTCTTCTGGGCTGAATAGAAAGGTTATAAAAAGCCCTTTAAGCTCATCTTATCCTTTTACTTGCTGAGTCCATAGTCGAATTTGGAGCTACTGTCAACAATATTAAGTTTGCGGACAGGATTGAAAGTTTAAGCTATACAGTTTCCAAACTAATGCCAGTTTGATTAAATGCTCAGGATACAAACAGCAGGGGTTTCTGAGCCCCTTCGCCATTAAAGCTGCCCTCATTGTGATGCTTCTCCTCCTGACCCGCTTCCTGTTGGATCATCAGAACCACAAACTGACCAGCTGAACCACCCAGACGTCCAAACAGTGTTTTGAAAGATACGTGTCACTAAATGTTAGCAACTTGAAAGACTAACAAACAAAATAAATGATTTGAGCTTCATTTTCTGTTTGTTGAAGATGCAAAACTTAATAATAATTAATATATAAATGGTTCCTATGAAAGAAAATCAAACCAAAACAGTTTATAAAAAGGTACATGAAATACTGGATCGTTTGTTTACGTCCCTCGATACACTAAGTGTTTATTTAACACCGACTTGTCGCTCGAGTCCAATAAAAGTCACCAAGTGCTGCCTTGTTTAACGGCGTTGAACCCACAAACAAAGATGGATTGAATGTGTAATTTGGAGCATTTAAATTTGGAGCATGAGAGGGGAAAAAGGCGCAATATTTCCTGCAAATTAATTCTTATCGTGGTGATGAATAATCAGGCTTCTTATGAGGAAGAGTCAGTGGAATACAGCAGCACTTTGAGCCGTCATAATTAACAGACTCGCTCAACAATGGGCACATTCTCAAAGCTTCTTATTAGCAGTGACATAATGGCTAAAATGCATATTAAAATGGGCATTTAGAGTGGAAGGGATCAAAACTACCAATGCAAACTGGGTTTTACGGTCCACACGGTTCACTGTCGGAGGTCTGGGTCGTAGTGTATGTTCGCCGTGATGCCGCCGTTACCCAGGGGGCCGTGCACGCCTCATTAGCAGCAGGGGATGCTTTGGCCACCGATAGGCGAGATTCAGACTCTTTGGTGGCTTAACAAGATCAGGTTTAAATCTGCAGCGAGATCTGGAACGGCTTCCTGATGAAGATTCATCATCAGGGCAACAATTACTTCACAGCAACGTTTTGGAGATCTCCATGAGGATCAGAGCTCATTTTTACAAACTTTAATGAGAATCAGTAGGCACAACTCTGCACAAGCACCATTATTTTTCTGCATTTCCTCCAAGTAGCTCAGACTTCCTTCATACCTTGGCAGTGACCTGAATAGTTCAACGTTTTTATACACTTTTTGTCCATTTTTCTCCCATTGGAAATGAGTTTTGTGATTTCGGAGACCAATAAAAGTTTCCAGTTTGGGAGAAAATATGATTTAACCATCAAAATGATTGAAGCTGAATACTTTTAATACAATAGATGATCAGCTAAAAGATGACAGATCTCCAAAATAGTAAACAGAAACTGATGATAGATGTTCAGTTTAGTCCATCTTAACAGATTAAGAAACAGGTTTTTATTATTATTATTATTATTAAGCTTGTTTGAATTTCTGACAGTGACAAATATTTCAATTTTGTTATATAATGTTAAAAAGAGTGAAAGAGAGAAATCCCTGTGCTAAAGCTAATTAGCATGTCATTAAACAGTGTTTCTTACCTTTTTCACAGGTAACTGGACGATTAGGGAAACTCCTTACTCCAACTCTTCTTCTGTGGTAAAAAAAAAAAAAATACACACAAAATTAGTTGCATGAATATCTTGCTGAACATTTTTCCTTCAGTGATTAAATGCTGGTGAATATTAGCCTGTAACGAAGCTGATTGATTAATAGCTAAGATGTTAGTTAAACATTTTGGCATAAAGATGTTAAATAAATATTTCTGCATAAAGTCCAACTCCCATCTGTTACCGTTTTGTTTTAAACAAAGACAAATAGCAGTTAACTGAACATTACAATGTTTCTTTCACATGTAAATATACCAACAATATTATTGTACACACTTCCAGCAACGATCCAGAAACTCAACTTCTATTGTGAAAATCCAAAAATCCTACTTCCTGTGCCGAATTTGCATCAGATATTAAACTTTAAATGAAGCAAAAAAACATCTGAGGTTGTATTACTGTTACTTTTTTTATTGTTCTTTATTTTTATTTTTTCACTGACATTGACTAATCAGCCTGTTTTCTGACCTTTGCTTTATTGAGTTTAATCTTCTATATCTAAGTATATAAAGTCATTGATAGTGATGTAAACTTATCCTAGTTTTGCTAATGCTACATGGCTCTACTTTAGCTTAGGTCAGAGTTAAGATCTTCCAGGTTTCTCGGCGTCATGAGGCGGGCGTTGGGATCTGTCAGTCAGCGTTGTGAGTCCTCAGCCCTCACCGAAGAGCCTGCTCCTCTGTGAGCTCGTCACGGGTGATTACAGGCCTCGCAAGAAAAATGAGATACTGGTTGACCTATTTCTGAGCACTTGGTTTCACACGCGCCCCCTCCAACCAAAGTTGCCTGTTCCTTTCATTTTTTATTTTATTTCAGCCTCTCTGCCCACCGGTCCTCTCAGGGTAGAGGTCAGGTCAGAGGCCACCTGGCTCTTCCACGTTGCTGAGCATGAGCAACCTGGCAACAAAGGCCTCCTCTTGTTGGGGGATCCATTGCTCGGTGCCAAACTTTCACCTTCACCCCCTCCCCTTTAGCCCCTGTGTGAAGAAAACCCCTGCAGGGATGCTTCAATGGGGGCCTGTGAGTCCCCGTCCCCTCATGGCAGTGAAGTTTTAGACGCTGTCATGAGGCGAGTCACACTGAGATCTCATGCGTGAGGAAGAAAGGTGGGAAAAAAAGAGAGGTGACGCACCTCTGCTTTGACTGGAGGACAAAGACACCCGGAGGCGACGCCGCAAACTTTATGTCCTCCGTCGGATGACGAGCCGCCGCATTCGGCTGTCAGGATTTATTTTCTGAACGCCCTTAAATGCCACTTGAGCAACTCCTTTTTCCTTATTTCAAAGCTGAATTAATAAAGAAAACGCCTAATTGAAACAATACGCTGTGTAATTAGATGAAAGGGTGTTCGTTTCCCGGCGCCACTGATGTCCTAAAAGAAGCCCGTTTGTTGAGTTTTGCAGATAAGAGTTAAAGAAACGGCGGCTGGCAGCGAGCCCTTCGCTTCTCAGATCCTCAGCAAAGCAACATGGGAGACCAGGGGTTTGCTCTTAAGAAGAAGTAAGTAGAGTTTGTTATTCCGCCGCCGCCTTTGACTAAGGTCATATCAAATTAACAGACGGCTGACTGAATAAAAATAGCATACCATTAATTCATTTTTTTCCCCTCCACTGCTCATAAATCTTAAAGGTTGACCTGATTTTTACCATTAAACTGTGGAGAAATTAAAACAGAGGAGCCACATGGACTAATTTTAACCAGCTCCGGTTTCACGTGGGAACTAAAACCCTGACAAACACAATACTCAGTCACTTGCATTTTCAATTATCCGCTGGCGTGGAATTTCAAACTTTATGGTCAGAATTATAATCAATTTTCAGGTGATAAAAAAGAGGAAATAAACAGCAGAATTGAGGCTGGACGATGCATTTAATTGCCACCACATTCGTTAACAAGCTTAACTCTTGTCTGGGCGCACTCAGCATTCAAATACATCCTAATTATTTCTAGTTGAAGGTCTTAAGATTGCCAACTCTTGTGTTGGCCGATGATAAAAAATGTCTCTTTTCAAACTTAATCATTACAAGTACATTCAGCGAGTGTAAATGGCTCAGAGGTTGGAGGGACGCATTAACGCGCGTGTCCATTTTTGGTTGAATGGCAAAGAAAGAAGAAGAAGGAAAAAGCAGATTAAGGCCCTAAAATCCCACCCTAACTGATGATCGCGCTCATAAACAGTCAATTATAGAATGTTTACTGTGGCGTCTTTTTGTTTCTCTGCGCTTGATAACGTGCGAGAGCGGCTTTAGATTGACAAGGATTTATGGGGAAGGGGGAAAAAAGCCAATCATGTAAACAAGTCCGCGGAGAATTAAAGCGGCTAAATCAAGATTTCTTTTTTCATTTTTTTTATGAAAACAGACAAAAAGACGACGAGATGCCCGACGTTTAATGAGGAGAAGGGATGATGGGCAGTGTTCGCATTGTAATATGCAAATCAGAAATAGTGTCTGATGGAGTTCTGTGCCACAGCCGATATGAATGAGGCCAGAAAACTGCGGTGGTAATTGAGTTTCTGGAGGCGCAGTCAAACTTGTGCCAAGCAGATCCTCCATACTGATAGAAAATCATTTAGAAGAAATGAAGGGTTAAGCAGACGGTGCTGATATTTTAGGTTTTTCAGAGAAAAAGTGCTGTCGGACGTGAACTTGCTTTTCTCCAAGTCACTTCAACATGTCCAGTCCAAACAACTTGTTCTTCATAAAGATGGAGACCCAGGACAGCTGCATCTCATGTATTCATTCATTTCTAAGAATGAAAAACGACTCATTTCTGTTTCTGTTGTATTTATTATATCATGCAATATCTATATATCAAATACGCATTGCCCATGAAGAGCCACCCCGAATTAATGGAAGATATTTCAGAAAATTTGAAAAACCAGGCTGGATTGGTGGACGGGTGGAGAGATGAACAACTGAATGGGTGGGGGACTAGAAAAAGACTGAGGATGGATGAACAATTGGTTGGATGAACAGCCAATCAACTGGTTGGATGGACAGTTGGTTGGATGGACAGTTTGTTGGATGATCAGTTGGTTGGATGGACAGTTTGTTGGATGAACAGTTGGTTGGATGGACAGTTTGTTGGATGAACAGTTGGTTGGATGAACGGTTTGTTGGATGATCAGTTGGTTGGATGAACAGTTGGTTGGATGAACAGTTGGTTGGATGAACAGTTGGTTGGATGGACAGTTTGTTGGATGATCAGTTGGTTGGATGGACAGTTGGTTGGATGGACAGTTTGTTGGATGATCAGTTGGTTGGATGAACAGTTGGTTGGATGATCAGTTGGTTGGATGAACAGTTGGTTGGATGGACAGTTTGTTGGATGAACAGTTGGTTGGATGAACGGTTTGTTGGATGATCAGTTGGTTGGATGAACAGTTGGTTGGATGGACAGTTGGTTGGATGATCAGTTGGTTGGATGGACAGTTGGTTGGATGGACAGTTTGTTGGATGATCAGTTGGTTGGATGAACAGTTGGTTGGATGGACAGTTTGTTGGATGATCAGTTGGTTGGATGGACAGTTGGTTGGATGGACAGTTTGTTGGATGATCAGTTGGTTGGATGAACAGTTGGTTGGATGGACAGTTTGTTGGATGATCAGTTGGTTGGATGGACAGTTGGTTGGATGTACAGTTTGTTTGGATGATCAGTTGGTTGGATGAACAGTTGGTTGGATGGACAGTTTGTTGGATGATCAGTTGGTTGGATGGACAGTTGGTTGGATGGACAGTTTGTTGGATGATCAGTTGGTTGGATGAACAGTTGGTTGGATGGACAGTTTGTTGGATGATCAGTTGGTTGGATGAACAGTTGGTTGGATGAACGGTTTGTTGGATGATCAGTTGGTTGGATGAACAGTTGGTTGGATGGACAGTTGGTTGGATGATCAGTTGGTTGGATGGACAGTTGGTTGGATGGACAGTTTGTTGGATGATCAGTTGGTTGGATGAACAGTTGGTTGGATGGACAGTTGGTTGGATGATCAGTTGGTTGGATGAACAGTTGGTTGGATGGACAGTTTGTTGGATGATCAGTTGGTTGGATGGACAGTTGGTTGGATGGACAGTTTGTTGGATGATCAGTTGGTTGGATGAACAGTTGGTTGGATGGACAGTTTGTTGGATGATCAGTTGGTTGGATGGACAGTTGGTTGGATGGACAGTTTGTTGGATGATCAGTTGGTTGGATGAACAGTTGGTTGGATGGACAGTTTGTTGGATGATCAGTTGGTTGGATGGACAGTTGGTTGGATGGACAGTTTGTTGGATGATCAGTTGGTTGGATGAACAGTTGGTTGGATGGACAGTTTGTTGGATGATCAGTTGGTTGGATGGACAGTTGGTTGGATGGACAGTTTGTTGGATGATCAGTTGGTTGGATGAACAGTTGGTTGGATGGACAGTTTGTTGGATGATCAGTTGGTTGGATGGACAGTTGGTTGGATGATCAGTTGGTTGGATGGACAGTTGGTTGGATGGACAGGCCGATGAAGGACAGACCACTAAAGCATCAGAACAGATTGAAATCTGGAAGCAACATTTTTCAACACCGATCCAGACCCGGATCATCCTTTAACCAAATTCCACACTTTCCAGACACCAGTTCAAGTTTGAGGAAAAAAAAACCCAGTTTGGGTTAAAATGCAGACCTATCTAAGCCAATGATGTTTTATTCTTTTTAAGAATGCCAGATGTAGTGGAAAATGTGAGCATGGCGCTTTTATCAAGGTGGTAAAGAGCTTTAAATTAGATTAAAACAAAAGATGTCAAACAACCACAGGCAGTAAATCCTTCAGTGGACTCCCTTCTCTTGTAATCAAGGTGTAATTTGCTGTGCAGCTTTGAAGACTCCTCTCATCCCGTCTCCACACTGCCATGATTGTGGAACAATGAAACCGGCTGAGAGCAGAAACTCTGGCGAATGCTATTAATAAAAGACACGTCTCGTCACTCTTAATATGGCAGGAAAACCTAAA